TAAATTTTTTAAACTTTAAATTTGTTAATGATCGTCATTTTTAAAATTGACCAATCACAGAGAAAGCCCGCTATGCTTCACGTTTCTAGATGTAAATATTGATGTGCTACACAAGACGTTGTATATGATTATGAAGTAAATTGTTACACTTTATTGATGAATGATCACATATGTAATGTGATCCACACTTCAAGGTGATGTTAGCCAGCTAAGCTGTTTACTATCTAAATTGGTAATTTTATTTCTATAACCAGAAGGTAACACGGAAAATTGATTACCACATTTAGAAATTATGTATGCAGATTATTAATGGCTAACATCACTACCGCATTTCAAGGTGATCCTTTGCAAGATGATTCATTTCATATTCAAGCATACTATTATTATAACAATACCTTCAACAATTATGTGCATAACAGTATGACACAATCAAAATGACATTCTATTTACAGATTATATATAGTATTACATATTCAGTCATGCTTGAAATTTTTGATTGATTGAAATGGTTGATCACATAAATCAGATGAAAGATTAATTCTTGCAAGTCAGAAGTGTTGGACTATTTGGTATATTATCTGAGTAAGTTATAAAATGTGTGTGTAGAACATTATGAAAAGTACACTCACCTTTCAGAAATCATGAAGATACTTCGAAGGATTGTCTGGCATTAATGGCAATTCTTTCTTGTCAAAATTTTTAATTTCTTCTAATTCTTCACATGTGAAGACATCTTGTTGTATATAGCAGGGTTGACAAATGTGCAATCCATTGATGGTCTATTGGTGGTCCATTGGGACCATTAATGTAATACTTTAACCATATTTAGTATTTTATTAATGGCAATGGACCAGTAAAATCCATCAGTTCCCAATGGACCAGTCAATTTGCCAACCCTGGTATATAGTTCTTGTCATCTGGGTCAATTAAGAAAGGATGACAGAGGCTTTTGGAAAGTAAAAAAATCATTATTAAATTGCAAAAAAAAAAGATCAACAAACAAATATTTACCGTTCTTGTGAACATTTCATCCCAAATGTGTATAACACATCTTCAACAATTTTTCTAGTTGTCAAAGTCCATTTCCTTTGTTTGAAATTTTTTTGAACATATCTATAAATTGTTGATATGCAGATAAGTCGTTTGTATAACATCATCACTAACAACTTCCTTGACATTCACATTTTCTTTATCAGGTTTGATCTGTGCATATTTGAAATGTAAGGAAAGGTGAGAGGCATTTTTGCAGTATTATTTGCAAGTATTCAATGCTAACCTTCTTAGAGGTAACTAAATTCGAATCTAAACTGCTATCAAAAGCATGTTTATCACCTGGTGAATTGCCTCCTCTTTGTCTGGTAAGTGCAGGTGTTCTGCTAGTGTAGTTTGTATAATTTGATCTTGTAATATTGCATTTTTTAAGATCTCATTATGCTGTTCTTTCTGTGAAGGAGAAAGGAACAAATTTATTTACATGATTCTATATGTCCTAATCATCTTAATGGGCTAAAGATAACATACCACCATGACATTACATTCAATAATATGTTTTTGATTCATTTCAATATTGATATCATAGAGTATTTTTTTAAAAGATGCATATTGAGAAATATACTCCAGATAGCATTATTCACACTTCCATTCAGAAACATCCATTTTATAAAAAAAAATTTATATTTGATGATTAAGAACATAAGAAAAGCCACTAAAAAATATATAGATGATCTGAAAAAAAATTTTGTATGCTTTTGTACAACAATAAATCTTCAGTATATAGGAGATTGGGGTGTTACACATCAGCATAAACACAAACATAGTTGAGCAGTAGGGTAAAAACATATTTTCTGGCACACATTTTTGCTACCTGCGTCATACTTTTTGATATATTAGCTCCAAATTTGCTTTAGATTATTTTAAAAATTTTGATGTTATCCAAAAATGGATTTGCTTTGTACCTTGAAGTACGATTGATTTTCATTTGTGTCATACTTTTTATAAACACCCGAATTTTTTATATATCACATTTATGAACCCCAAAATAAATTTAAAGCAAATAATCAATATAAAAAAATTTCAAACAAATTGTACTTTTTATAAGTATTCTAGAATACACATTTTAACCAATGTTAATACCACAATGCTTGTTTATTAAATTAACCTAAAGACAATTCTTATATATATAAGCCTAAATAATCTCAAAATCAAAATAAACCAAAAAATAAGGGGTAGCAAAATTTATAGATGGTAGCAAAAAAATTTATAGATTAGATATACAGGATTTGATTTTTTGAATCCTAAAAGTGCAAATCTAGAGGAGATAGAGTTTGAATTTTCATATTGAAAAAATTTACATATATTGATCAGTGAAAAATCCGCACATATGATTTTTTATATGTGTGGTCAACTATGTTTGTGTTTATAATTTGTAACACCCCAAAGTCATGTGGCCACTAGTTTATCATTGGTCCAAATTATTTATAGAAACAATTAATGATCTAAAAAATTAATTTTTACAAATATTTTTTAATTCTAAAAAAAAAAATGACAAGTATTGACGAAATTAGAAATGAATTAAATGATGCTGAGAAGTGGTTGGGGAATGCAAAAGAAGAGTTGAAGGAGTGGAAAGAAAAATGGGGAGGGAGGCTGGACCAGTTGTGGAAAGGAGATAAAGAAACACATGAAGGGGAGTTTAATTATTTAATAGAAGAAAAGAAGAGTTTGACGAAGAAGGTAGATGATCGGGGAAAGCAAGTGCGGAAGTTGCAAGATACATTAGTTAACTTTGGCAAAGGAGAAGGTAATGAACAAATTACATAAAAAAATATATTTTCATTCATTTCATTTCATTTATTTATTTATCTGTTATACTGTCTGCAATATTAACTGACAAACTTGTTATTACTTTTATATTAATATATTAATTATTTCTGTAATATGTTGATTAATT